TTCACAGAGCACTCATGAATGTTTGCTCTTTGTTATTAGTTACTAGAGAGACAAATGTCTGCCAGGGCTGAATAATATGTGAATTGGTGATTGTTGCACATATCTAAAGAAGCAGTTATTTTTTCAATTAAAACTTAGTTTGAAAACCAATATAAGGCCGAGCGCAGTGGCTCACACCTGTAATCCCAGCACTTTGGGAGGCCAAGGTGGGCAGATCATTTGAGGTCAGGAGTGTGAGACTAGCCTGGCCAACATGGTGAAACCTTGTCTCTACTAAAAAAAAAAAAAAAAGTACAAAAATTAGCCGGGCGTGGTGGCAGGTGCCTGTAATCCTAGCTACTTGGGAGGCTGAGGCAGGAGAATCGCTTGAACCCAGGAGGCGGAGGTTGTAGTGAACCAAGTTTGCGCCACTGCACCCCGGCCTAGGGAAGAGAGTGTGACTCAAAAAAAAAAAAAAAAAAAAACACCAATATAATAAATAAGTGGCCAGCAGTGAAATGGAAAGTGAAAAGTTGGTGAAGCAAAACTAGTACTGTATTCAGATAAAGATGCTGAATCTAGATTTGGTCACCAGAATAGGGTCCTTTGTGGCAAGCAGGGCTAGTTTGGCTGACTCACCACTGCCGGGATGAAATTTCTCTCAGTGGCTGCTCATTTCCCTTTATTTTAAGTCCATGCTCACAGAATAACCTTCTGATGCCTAATTCAGCTTCCTGGGATTCTTAATAACAGGAAGGGTCTGGAAGTAGTACCTGTATAGCGGATATGGGTGTTCTGATATTAATAGTCAATTCATAAGTGTACAGAGAGGTTGACAAATGGTTAGGTCAGAACCATCGCAGAATGTCTACACCTCTCTGGACATTAGGAAGGTCAAAAACCTGAAAGGCCAAAAGCTAGGCCTAGATTAGGGTCATTCACCAAGATAACATCAGCCTTGAAGAGTTCTCTGCGTGGTCGACCAGCCGACCTTCCTTTGATCACACCCCCTTCCTCATTGCTTCTTTTTTTTTTGAGACAGAGTCTCTCTGTCACCCAGGCTGGAGTGCAGTGGCCGGATCTCAGCTCACTGCAAGTTCCGCCTCCCGGGTTTACGCCATTCTCCTGCCTCAGCCTCCCGAGTAGCTGGGACTACAGGCGCCCGCCACCTCGCCCGGCTAGTTTTTTTTGTATTTTTTAGTAGAGACGGGGTTTCACCGTGTTAGCCAGGATGGTCTCGATCTCCTGACCTTGTGATCCGCCCATCTCAGCCTCCCAAAGTGCTGGGATTACAGGCTTGAGCCACTGCGCCCGGCCCTCATTGCTTCTTTAAGCATTGACCTGTAATGGGTATGGAATTTTTTGCTCACCTAACTCCATCCTTTTACAGAGGAAGAAATTGAAACCCAGAGAGATTTAATGGCTTGCCTAAGACCACACAGCAGATTTTCTGTTAACCAGGGCGATTTTTCAGGTCTTCCCTGCCAGACAAGGGCTTTTTTCCTTGAATTGCGTAGAGATTTGTTGAGCTATCCAAAGCATTTTTCCCAGTGCAGCCTGGAGAAGGATGTCCATGTTAACACAGCATTTGATACTCAATGTTAGACATTCAGTTTTCTAATTAGTATCATGGAGCAACAGTGAATGATTATCTATAAGGGGTTGCAATTCTATACTTATCTGCTTACAGCCCATATAGACAAATCTCAGATGTTAAAATGACAACGGCAGTAGAGATGTGGCCCTAGGACAAAGGCATGCTCTGCTGTTAGTGAACACTAGTTGGCCAGCAAATTTCACGTGGGCGTATACACGGCCAGCTGTAGACTTTAGGCATTTATACCCATTCAAAGAGCCAAACTGGCAACTAAAGATTAGAGTTTCAGGCTTTGTGTTCTGTTAGGAATCACTGCTTGCTTAAATACCTCTGATAGCTCTTCACTCCCTGTAGGCAACTCTTTAGCCTAGCAGACTTGGTCTTTACTGCTCTGCCCCTACTCTCTTCCACCATCCCGGCCTCTGCTCTAATTGCTGCCCACAGGTGCCCTGCACAAGAGCTTACAGACCTGCTCAGCAGTATGTGAGCATACCACACTCTTTATACCTCAACGCATTTGCACATATTTTTCCTTCAGGCCAGAATGCCTCTTATCTGCCTGGCAATCAGCCTATTAGAGACTGCCAATACCATCCCGTCTTCTGTGGAGGAGTCCCCCGCCAAATCCACCCATACCTCTCCCCACCAATCAGAGACTTTTTCTCTCTTTGTTATTCTCTTCATACCTCAGTTATATCCATGTCAATATTTGTTTACACATCTAGCATCACTCTTAGAGTATGAAATTCTCCAAGTGCGGAGCTGTATCTAGTTTGTCTTTGTATCCCAGAGTTTAGCAAAGTGCCTAGAATGTAGTGGGCACTCAGAGTGTTTGCTGGGTGAGTGATGTTATTTGTTGAACGACTCTTTGGACACTTGAATAAAGCCCATCCAGTATGCACCATTACTATCTCTTTGCTCTACAATATTCTTTTAGGCAAGAGCTTATCTTTTGAGGTGATAAGATAAGCTCAAACTTATATAGACTAAGACCTCAGTCTGTAAATGTCATCCCTAAGTCTTAAACCATCAAAACCAGGGCCTCAAGAAATGGCATGCCTTCTGCAACTGTAGCAACCTGCTGTGCTTATTTTGCCTTGTTTTTCATTTTCCCCCCAAAGGCTAGAGTCCCTTCTCCCATGGGCAGTGCTGGAAGGGTGCTAACAAATTCTTTCTCCATCCTCCTTACGATTACAAAAAAAACCCTCAGTACCTCATGCCAGACTTGAGTTAAGGTTGTTTTCTTCTGTGTGTCAGCTGTATTCTGGTCATGACTTCCCGATGATGCCCTATAGAGATTTTGCTGAGATCAGAGGGTGCTCCACTCTCATCAGTAGCACTGACTTTTGCAGAAGCACCATTTCTGAAGTTGGCTAATGTCATCCCTCATGTTTGTTTGTTTGTTTGTTTGAAATTTGTTTTAGCTCCAGAGATAGTGCTTTCATGGAATGAAAACGCTATCTTCTAGAATCACCGTTTTTTTTTTTGAGATGGAGTCTCGCTGTGTCGCCAGACTGGAGTGCAGTGACGCAATCTCAGTTCACTGCAATCTCCACCTCCTGGGTTCAAGTGATTCCCCTGCCTCAGCCTCCTGAGGAGCTGTGACTACAGGCACGCACCCCAACTCCCGGCTAATTTTATGTGTTTTAGTAGAGACAGGGTTTCACCATGTTGGCCAGGATGGTCTCAATCTCCTGACCTCGTGATCTGCCCGCCTCAGCCTCTCAAAGTGCTGGGATTACAGGTGTGAGCTACCGCGCCTGACCTAGAATCACCTTTTTATACCATAACATGAGCACTGCTGCCGTGTCACTGAGGAAAGAGAGAGGCAGCTACTGTGGGGTTACAGATGGGTAAGAGTGGCACCAGGAGGGTGAAAGTCTCTGCTGAGCCAAAGCTTAACAAAATGTCAATCATCAAACATTTATTTATTAAGCTACGTTCAGGATAAGAAGATGAACAAGCTATCTGTAAATTCATTTTCTCGTTTGTAACAAGGTAACAATAGTGATCTATCCTGCCTGCCTCTGAGGGTTATTGTGAGAGTAAAATGAAATCAAGTGGAAAAGCACTTAGGCAAAAGAAAAGCATTGGTTTTCAATTGTTAGTGTGGATCAGAACCACTGGGACTTGTTTAAAATGCAGATTCTTAGCCCCAATCTCAGCAATTCTGATTCTGTATACCTGAAGTGGGGCCCAGGAATCTTCATTTTCAACAGGCTGACCAGAAGGTCCAATGCTGCTATTTCTTTAGTTACACTTTCAGAAATATTACTGTAAATCACATGGCAAGAATAAAATAGTTATTTGAGGCAGTTTTAGTATGTTGGACCTGGAGTCCAAAGACTTGGGTCAAACTCCAGCTTTGTCAGTTCCTGGATCCGTGACCTTAAACAGCAACCTTCTCTGTGAACCTTAGTTCCCTCAGGAACGTCTCTGGTCACCTTCTGCCCTACTCCATTGATGACTCACCACATAAGGCTCCCTGGGAGTTCCCCAAACCTCTGCTCTCTTAACTCCTTCTGTAGCCTCCTACATCTCCTTCAGGTGCTGTCTTCTCCTCCTTTTTCCAGGCCCTGCTCTGACAAGAGCATTCATTCTCTTCTGGGAAGGGTTCCTTCAATGTGTCCTCAAGCATATCACACCCAGGAAGGACCCTGTGGCCATATCTGTCTATCACCAGATCAAACTACGTGAAGGCAGGCACTAGGTACTCTCAGTGCCCAGCATAGGCCTGACCTATACCAGGTGTCCACAGATGCCTAGTAAGGTAACCTATAATTCAGGACCCCCATGATGAGCAACTACAGCACTAGAACAGTGATAATAACTAATGTTCATAAAACATCTTCAGTTTACAAAGGCCTTTTATACTCATCATCTAGTTTAGTTCCTGCAACAACCTCTTGAGGAATACAGCACAAGCAGGGCAAGGGAAGCCCAGAGATGTTAAATAATTTATCCAAGTTTATGCTGCTGGGGAGGGCAGCACTGAAATTAAAAGAAAAGTTTTCTGAGCTCAAATCCCATGACCTTTCCTTATGAGCTCTAGCAAGGTATTCAGGAATCCTGCCTGTACAGTTCAGAGCCTCAAATTGCTGGGTATGTTGAGTTCTTGTATGTGATTTTTCTAGATTTCCTGACCACATTCTTACTGTCTGGATATCAGGAAAGAGTTTATCAAATGCCTGTGGAAATCCAAGAGAAGGTCTCATGATGAGTAACCCAGTGAAAACATGAAGTCAAGTCTAACTAGTCACTACTGTTTCACTACTGCTGACTCCTAATGATCAGCTCCTTTTCTAAGTTCTTACTGTCCACTTATTCCATCATCTGCCTAGAATTTTGTGAAGGAATCAAAGCAAAAGGATCATAAGGTTACTTTTTCCAGTATCTTTTTCCTCCTTTTTGAAAACTGAGCCAGTTAGCTATCTCTGTTTTTATTTCATGAATACATCCCCAGCACCTGGTATATAGTAAATATGGAACATTATACTTTGGAAATATTGCCCCCATTCTCCATAGTTTCTCCGAAGTTACTAACAATGGTTCCATCGCTGTGCCAACGTATTTTCTTTTTTCAATATATTGGGAAATAATTCTCCCAGTCTGAAAATCTGAACACATTTCATGTGACTTGGTATCCTCATATGTCTTGGGCTTCCAATTCTCCGTTCCTGGTTTCAAGTTCATGAACTATAAAACAAGGGATTAGACTAAATCTCTGAAGTTCTATCCAGATGGCAAATTCTTTTCTCTTTCCGTGATACCTAAGATGCCAAATACTGTCTTTTACCTGGTGTTTGTGAACATGACATCACATTACAGGAGTAGCAGATAAAACACTGACTGAGTTCCATGAGCCGGATACTGAAGTGGGCTTGTTCACATATGTTCTCATTTAATGCTCATAACCCTGTGAAGCTGGGAATTTCTGTGACGTTTTATTTATCTATTTATTGAGACAGAGTCTTGCTCTGTCACCTAGGCTGGAGTGCAATGACACGATCTTGGCTCACCGCAGTCTCTGCCTCCTGTGTTCAAGCGATTCTCTTGCCTCAGCCTCCCCAGTAGCTGGCATTACAGGCACATACCACCACACCCAGCTAATTTTGTGTTTTTAGTAGAGACGGGGTTTCTCCATGTTGGCCAGGTTGGTCACAAACACTTGACCTTAGGTAATCCGCCCGCCTCTGCCTCCCAAAGTGCTGGGATTACAAGCATGGGCCACTGCGCTCGCCCGGGACCCTTGTTTTAGAAGGATGACTGCTACTATAATGTAGAAAGTGATTTGGAAGAGGGGAGGAGGGGGGCAGGAAAGATGGTTAGTATATGGGAGTGGTAATGCTTACCTTTCAGGATTTGGAGGTTTCAGAGTCCTCAAAAATTATCTTCCTTGATTGGAGTCCTCCCAGCCAATAGAGGGCTTCACACAAACACAGTTCCTTGGGTTTTGAATTATTTGGCGAGAGTTTTCTTCCGACAAGAGGCTGGGGTGATTCATTCACTTACCACACCTTGCCTGAACATTCACTTGGGGCTGCCGGTTTTGAAGGCTATTGTTCTCCAGCCTGTCACAGACGCCTTGAAGACCTGTGCCTCAGCTAGTTCTAAGGAGTCAGTTTGTTCGGCTCCCTGCCAGGTTTCCAACTTATGAAATGTGCTGGAGATTAACACCTCTCCTGCTATTTTATCCCTACTATAACTGCCAGTCAAAGGATTCCTGCAGTTGCCTCTGGCAGCCATAACTGCTGAATCTTCTGCCAGCTGCTCTGAGGACCTAGAAGAGCAGTTTTCTATCCAGGACCAGTTTCCAAGGGTGGGAGGGTAAAATATATCCTCCAATGTGACATTTCATCTCCCAATGCTGGGTGGCTTGGGCCCTTTGAAGTTGGCTCTGAGGAACCACACGCTTGCGTCTGAGCAGCCAGCAGCTTATCACATCTGGTGATCAATCCTTCAAAGGTTCCTCCTGAAGTCTGGATTTATGGAGGTCAAATGGATTCCACCTGGGAGGGGCTTCTGCTTCAACTCAGGACATGGGGAGAAGGCTGTTCGTCTTCCAGGGGAAGGCAGTTTTCATGGCATTGAGATGTCCTCTCACTTATTCCCCACCCACCCACCAAGTCCTTTGTAAGAGGAGTAGGGGGAGAGGAGAACGCCTGCAGCCTCCTGCTCACATTCCTAGACACCGACTCACTGAGCCCGCCGCCGCCGCTGGAACAGCAGAGCTGTGTGAAATGTCAAGAGGAGTTATGCTCATGGGCTCCCTGGCCTCGGTCTCTTTGTGGCTTGCATATTCTTCCATCAGTGATGTGTTCATCACATGGAAATCAGAGGGTACAATTAAAAGATAATTTGCTAGTTCCAGACTTAATTTGGGGCCCCCTTCTTGCCTGATTGAATTACAAGGGAACATAATAGAGTTTTGGTGAGAAATAGTTGATTCTGTGGCTGGGAGAAAGATTGCTCCCAGCTCTCCAGCTGGGCAGCCCTTTCAGTATCCTGTATGTTGTTTCCCCACTTCCAGCCCACCTCAACTCCTCTGTGGCTCTTGTGTGGCCCCTAGGCCAGGATCCTGACCTCCTGCTCAAGAGTTTAAACTCAACTTGAGACCCAAGGAAAACAGAGAGCCCTCTGCAACCTCACAGGGGTGAAAAATGTTGATCCTGGGAGCTATTTAGAGACCTAACCCAGACCCAGACAGAGACAGTGACTTGCTAAAGGCCACAGAGCTAGCCCACAGTAGTTGTAACAATAGTCTTAATGATATTAATGGGTAACATTTATCAACCTTTAATGTGTTCCAGACTTTGTGCCAAGGGCTTACATACAGTGCATTGTCGCATTCAAACCCAGACAGTCTGGCTGTGGGCCCAGGCTGAGCTTCGATATAGCATGGTAGAGTGTAGTCTATAATGTCTAGTCTGGGTTCAAATCCTGGCTTCACTTCTCACATTTACAGCTGAGTGACCTCAGGCAAGTGATTTAACCTCCCTGTACCTCAGTTGCTTTATCTGTAAAGAGAGAAATCGCAGAACTGTGGAATAGTGTGGGTTAAAATTCATTTATTCAAGTAGTACTGCAAGCAGTGCTTAATGCAGGGTGAGCACCTGTTCAGTCCTTACTTCTTCTGGCTGCCTCTGGGGCTAGAGTGTGGTGTCTTTGTGGTGGTAGGTAGATATGGCTGAGCTCTGCACAAACACCAAGAGCTGTTCTTCACTATTAGAGGTAGTAAATAGAGTGGTTGAGCTCTGTAGCTCTAGAACAGAGGCCGGCAAGCTATGGCCCATTGCCTATTTTAATACGGCCTGTGATTGATTGTTTTTTTGTTTTCTTTTTTCTTTTTGAGACGGAGTTTCACTCTTGTTGCCCAGGCTGGAATGCAATGGCACGAACTCAGCTCACCGCAACCTCCACCTCCTGGGTTCAAGCGATTCTCCTGCCTCAGCCTCTCGAGTAGCTGGGATTACAGGCATGTGCCACCACGCCCAGCTAATTTTTGTATTTTTAGTAGAGACAGGATTTCTCCATGTTGGTTAGGCTGGTCTCGAACTCCCTACCTCAGGTGATCTACCTGCCTTGGCCTCCCAAATTGCTGGGATTACAGGTGTGAGCCACCATGCCCGGCCTGATTGATTGATGTTTTTGGTAGAGATAGGGTCTTGGTTTGTTACCCAGGCTGGTCTCAAACTTCTGGCTTCAAGCAGTCTGCCCTCCTTGGCCTCTCGACTGCTGGGATTATAGGCATGAGCCACTATACCTGGCCTATATGACCTGTGATTTTTAATGGTTAGGGGGAAAAAAGCACAAGAATGTTTTGTGACATGTGGAAATTACATGAAACTCAAATACCAGTGTCCCAGCCTGGGCAACAAAGTGAGACCCTATCTCTACAAAAAAAAAAAAAAAAATTAGCCAGGGCCAGGCACAGTGGCTCACGCCTATAATCCCAGCACTTTGGGAGGCCGAGGCAGGTGCATCACCTGAGGTCAGGAGTTCAAGACTAGCCTGACCAATATGGTGAAACCCCGTCTCTACTAAAAATACAAAAATTAGCCGAGCATGGTGGCATGTGCCTGTAGTCCCAGCTACTTGGGAGGCTGAGACAAGAGAATTGCTTGAACCTGGGAGGCGGAGGTTGCAGTGAGCCAAGATCATGACACTGTACTCCAGCCTGGGCAACAGAGCGAGACTCTGTCACAAAAAAAAAAAAAAAAAAAAAAAAAGA